ATGCCACTGTTGTTAAGAAGTTCTTCAAGAAATCGGACCATCGCCTCCTCGCTGAAACCTGTTTCGCGGTTGTGAAGAGAGAGCTGCACGATTCAGGAAATGGAGCAGTAAAACAATCATCAGCTGGGAACATTCCGCTCTTCTTGGGGTTTCTTAGGACATTCCGCCATGGACAACACCGATGATGAATACAACTTGCTCGTCAAACATCATGATAGTGCTAAAAAAAGAGCCTACAAATAGCCAAGAGACGTCTCGACCACGAGTGTCCCGAATTAATAGCAAGCGTTAATTACCAACAAACGCCCGAACTTGCGAAGCTGTTCGGAGAAGCGGTGAAGGAAAATTCGAAATAGAAAGGAGCAGCAATTTAGCCGAAGCCGCCGGGGCTGTCAGGTCCATACACCAGAGCATCGAAATCACAAGGCCAAGATGGCTTCTCTCCATCATTATTACGAAATAGCCGCTGCGTATTAAAGGGCAAAGGAGAATGTCATCTACGTTTTCTACTGAGATCCTCCCGATAGCCACGTCCCTCCGTCTATTTACCATCTTATGCAGGGTTGATATGTCGAACTTCCACTTTTGCTTCCGAAATTTAAGGAGGCATGTCGATGAAGAATCGTACGGTGCAGGGTTCCTATGGGACTAAACCAGGGCATTTCGAGAGCCTTCCACCAGTTACCGTCAGAACTCTATCTAAGCTCTTAACGCGGTACCAGTCGGAATTCAAAGTGGCCACGTCGAGGAAAAAAAGCAAGATAAAGTTGCTGTATGGGAACGGAGATCCTGACGATGTTGACGACTGTCGTCCGTTCTGCCTGTTGCCAGTTATCTGAAGTTTTCACACGAGTCATCCTCAACAGGATTGGCAGAACGTAAGGAGAGTAACCATACGAGCAAGCAGGGTTTCGAAGAACACTCAGCAGTGTTCAGCAGAACGATCACCGAACTTTCCATCACCGCCATTATGCACCACTTTCAATGGAAAGTGTTGGGAGTGAAAGTCGGTGGCACCACCTACTTCTTCTCTGCTTTGCAGAAGATATCTTGATTTCAACATCGAACAGTGAGCAGGCAGAAAGAATGCTGACAGACCTCAACCATGCAAGTGGAAAGGTTGACCTAAAATTGAAATTAACTAAGACGAAGTTTATGAGGATCGAATTAGTACCTGATGCTCCCTTAATGCTAACCGAAACAACTATCTCGGAATGGTGTAGCTATGTGTATTTGGATCAAGAGGTCAGAAAGGAGCAATGACCTAGCTCCGGAGATGAGCAGAAGGAAACGCACGGCAAGAGCGTTCAAGCGAGAGTAGTGAAGAGAACCAAGAAAATCCGGTTCAGCTCACCTTTTCGACACCGCGGTCCTTCCTGCTTCGAAGTACATCTCGTAGACTTGGACTATGTGAAGTAAGGATGAACATTCAGTTAGTGTCATTCAATGCGTTCAGAAAGGACGATGCTTAGAATTTTCCTACACACTCAAGTGCAGTAAGGAATCTGGAGTTAGGTGCTCCGCCATCGAACGAAGATCGCGGATACCGCTGTTTATCCCACAAATCGAAGACCAGATTGGCCTGGCACGCCGCGCGATATAGTGATAACCGTTGGTCCACGGCGGTTACCTAGTTGGTCTATTGAGACGTCAAACGAGGACTAGGACGACCGAAAAGCGCAAGAATTTTGAAAAAGCATTGAACAAAATGAATGCTATGCCTCGTCTCCCTCAAGCAAGGCCGATCCATTGGACTACACTGGCTCGCGACAGGGATGAATGAAGACTTGGCCCGCTCGAGGGAATCGATGATCAACAGGACGACAGGTCATAAAAGTGATCAGTAGTTGTCATTTGCGATCATTCATTATTTCTACCATACCGCCGCAACCCACGACGCACACTAAAAAGGCAATTGCACAGTGACATATGAAAAACATAATAGATTCAGTAGCCCTTATCTTTTGATACACTTTTGGTAGTGTTGGAGAGGGCAACTTTATAAGTGTTCGATTATAAAATACATTGGTCAGTTCGAGCTTATTTTTAGTGCTGTGGCAGAGATCGCCAAAAAAATATTTATAACAATTGGCCGATTACTCCAGCTATCATCACTCATTTAGGTTTTCTCTGAGAGATCTAGTAAAGAGTACAACCATACAAGCAAAATATAATCATCCCTTGAATTCATGCATCTTTATTGCAGGTGTTGAAATGGCGATTAATAGACTGGGCCCATTTTTGGATGGGACGCGTGCCTGTCACGAAGTGGGTTCCTGCGTACAATTGGAAGAAGGACCTTCGAGCAGACATACTCGGCGGGCTGATGCTTTCGATAATGGCTCTTCCTCAAGGTCAGATGTTCAATAAAGAGAGAAGAGTTCAGGCGCGAACAATACCCATTCAGTATTATGAGGCATCTTTTCGGAAAGTAATGCTTTTCAATGGTAAATGACGTGACTGACTTGCAAGAGCTATTCCATGTACAAGTCATGTGCGTATATTCCTCCGTTGGGAACGGTATATTCCTTACTTCGAAGTAGTAGAACTCTAGTAGGCCGCTAGTTAAGATTGATAATGGACGCCAGGTCTATGTGAAGCAACATCGCCATTCGACGTTACGCAACCTCAGTATCAAAAAGCGATTACGGATAGCGGATCAAGACTTCGGGCGTCAGTCAATCCCGTCTGAGAGATACGTCGCCGCATTCGAATTCCATTCAGAGTTCTAATGGCGCAATGAATGCATAAGTTGTCTATAATTACATGCGGTGGCCAGCGATGTAAATACGAGTCAGTGCTTTGATCCTTCCAAACAGTCTGGTAAGGTATGGAAAATATATTTGACCTAGGCGGATGTCAATCCAGGACTCGAACCCGTGACCAGTGTTTGTGATAGTGCGCCACTTGCCACCGCACCGCCTCTGCCCTGAAAAGCTGAAAAGTCTACACATATCAAAATTCCGCAAAATCAGATCCAGTGGGAGAGGAGGACGGCCAAAAAGTACGACTGAAGAACCATTTGGCCCAAGGCTTTCAACGGTACTGTATATAGTCTCAAGCTAGCCAGCCAGCCAGTGAAATCTTGAAGTGCCCATGTATAGTGAAAAAAGATTCAGAGCCTCCATGGACCATACATATTATATAGCCGATCAAAGAACATCTTCTAAGGAAAATGTACATTTAAGGATTGGCATACGGTTATCTTGTGGGAGTACCTCCCATATATGGGCTGATAACGGCAATCTTTGGGCCTATCTTTTATGCAGTCTTTGGCACTTCACGCCACACCTCACCGGGTATGCTTTTGTTGCTCGAAAGCACAGCGCAAGGTGAAACAATTAATGTTTCAGGTTGCTTTGCAATAGCTGCTCTCATGGTTGGCGGAGTCGTAGAACAGTATGGCGCCAAACCATCAAACGGTAGGTATAGGAAACGAGGTCACGAAGGATTTTTTGGAGTGCTCATTGTAGATCAGAACAATAGCACTACCCCTCCGAGAATTTGCTGTCAGGCTTCAGCCTCAGGGGTGCCTGCAGACGAGGCGGTGGCTATTGCGTCTTCAGTGACGCTACTCGCCGGTCTTTGGCAGGTGATTCGATTCCAGAATTTTGCTTGTCTATCGCTACAGCCAATTATTTCCAGATATTCTTCGGCCTCCTCAATGCAGGTCTACTAGCAGTGTGGCTATCTGATCATTTAGTCCAAGGTTCGTTCAGAATAATTCGAGTGACGTTCTCACACACATATACTTCTTAGCACTTGTGAATTCGAGGTTTTCTTGTCCATTTGCTAGCTCGTGTTTACTTTATGCGAGTTGCATTTGTATGGGTCAACTTCGAAGTGTAATTCAGACTTTAATGGACTCTCGCGAATTGAGGGGGACGGTTAATGAATATGTCGTCGAAAGGAGACGGTGTAGTTGCACGTAACCACGCCCGCATGGGGAAATCGATAGATCGATATCCACCCAGTCGAATAAATCCCTCTGTCCTTCCTTAATCTGCTGTTTAGTAGCAGGCTGGTTTAGGAGAATAAGAAAAGCATCTTGTACATTGGTTCAGTAACTGTAAGTCATTGTGCCGGCCAAATATGCATCCAATATGATGGTAGAAGCCGCACCAAGCGGGAAAAGAGGATCTTGGGCAAAGGGTTTTGAGTGTTGTCTCTTGTACCTGCAAGGGTCGGTCCAGTAAGCATGGAACAAATCAAAGTATACAAGGCAGCATGGTTCTCAAACGATGAAGTTCGAAAGGCCGTAAAACAAAAGAAAGAAGGGCGCAGAAGCGGAAAGATGGCAATACACGCGAGCTCCAGAAAATCTACAAAAGTTGCAGGGGGTCGTCAAGACTCAAGTAGAAAGAAAATGGAAACGGGCGCCTCGTACAAAAAGCTAGATGGTCGAGAAGGAGAAAAGTTCATTCCCCGGGTGGCCAAAGCCTGGAGTCGGGCTACTGAAGACACAGTAGTGAGGGCTGTAAGGGAAAGTGATTTTGAAGAAATATAAGGTTTACAAAAACATAAGGTTAGGAGTTGAACATGAGTACGGCGACAAAAGCTGCATGGAAGGAGTATTTGGACGAGCTGCCCAAATGTGTCTGCAATCGCGTACAGCTAGCTACAATAAATGCAGTATACGAATAGTGCAATATCTTCATCGCTATGAAAACTTTTCGCCCCCAGGTGTGTACATCTGCTTAGCTGGTTTGGAGCTCTTACTATGTAGACCGTCTTTCGGAACGCGATGGAGTGTTCCAACTAGCGTAGCTCCAAGACGACTGCGCATCCTACTTACTATGAAGCGCTTCGTCTGTCGTTCTGTCTGTCTGTCGTCTGTCTGTATGTCTGTCACGGATTCCTTAGCTCCTTCAGATCTGCCTGGAGAGACCGGGTCAAGCGTGGGATGGGTGGGCCACATTCCGAGAAGTATCAAGCACACATCAGCTTAACGGAGCCCCGCCCGCAGTGCGCGTGGCGCGCATCGGAACGAGCTGTACTGAGGACCATGGTCACAAGACGGCTTCAAAACTGGGGTCTAGAGGTGGCTAGAGGTGTGCATTGATAAGTCAGATCGAACTAGGGAGACCCACCCCCGATGGGAGGGGCGTTCTCCAAAAATGGTTTATGAAAACACTTTGGAAAATCATAACTCCTGTCCCCGTGGAACTAGAAACTTCAAAGATGGAAGGAGTATGGACGGCGGGATGGGAACACTTATGGTGGGTGGCATTACCAGACTCCGCCCACAGGGGGGCGGGGTTTGTGTGAATAACTTAAATTTGGACCTGGAGCGTTCAAATTTGGTAGGAGTGCAGGCGGCACGACGGGGACACTTGTGCTGGGCAGCAGGACCGTACTCCGCCCACAGTGAGTCAGTGGGCGGGGTTGAGTGGAACTTCAGCTCTTGTTCCCGTGGATCTAGAACGCTCAAATTTGATAGGTGGGGCAGGCGGGGAGGCCAATTCAAAACGAGAAGGAGGGGAGTCTGGCATCAGCCCGAGCCGATATACTGTGTATACAGAAGTGTTGCTTTGATAAATTACATGTTTCACAATCAAGTGTTATGTATACCATGCTAATGCTACAGCCGAGCTGGACAAACTTTTCTATTACACGTCATACAGCCTTCTTGAACTGCTTGCCGGTCAGCCTGAATTTTCGTGATCTAGCGAAAAAATTTCATGCTTACCATGAGACAAAAAATGGTGGCCGGTACAGAAGTGTCAGGGATGAGATTCATATGATAAAGGTCTTTAATGGAAATCAGAAGCTCATGTAGCTCCGTCCCTTATGGCTAGAGTCCAGAGCGCACGCGAGAGCGTGCGTAGCCGCCTGGTACCAATATACTCTACGAGCGGTTGATGGGTAGCGGTTAATCAAAATAGAGGGTATTTGCCCCGATCTCTTAGGATACCTGGCTTCATGCCAAAAAGATCTACAACATGCCATCTTCACAGCTAGATAAGTGATGTAGGACTATCGAGAAAAAGAAACCTTGCTACATAGCCTTCCTCGATTTGAAAAGAGCCTCTGATCCGGCATCGCGACAAATCCTATGGAGAATGCTTCGGTGACGGGAAGTTTCAGAACATCTTCCTCTGTGGTTCAGAGAATGCAGGAGCGGTTCAAGTCAACTATGCCCATAGGGCCTAACAGGGAAGGTCTTCCAGAGCGTGGGACGTTTTTTGAAAAAGGTTCTTCGCATGGTGTAGGGACATGAGCACTGAGTGTAGAGCTATGGTCCATTTCCGCTAAATGGCCTTCTAAATGCCAAAAAAAGGAGTGAAAATGATTTTGCCAGAAATTGCCGTATTAACCCACTAAGCGTCATTTGTTTCATTCATGGCGTCGACTGTCCGCACAGTAGAAGGCGCCAACGGACTGTGCATTGAAAATAATGTGAACGGTAGCCAAAACAGAGAGCCACATGTTGAAAAATGCGGGGAAGTTTCATAGCGCTCTTCACGGTTGAGCTGTTAGCAGCGACGGATGGCTACTTTCATAGTCCGCCGGCCGGCCGGCCGGCGTGCCAGGCGAGGCAGAGCTAGGGAGGCAGACGGTCGGTCGAAGGGCTGAAAACAAAAAAGAACAAGATCCAAAACCATATGACCAGGGGGTTGTACAAATCGTTTTTGATCTTGTCTCTCTTTGTTTGTAGCCCTTCGAAGGGGCTGACCCACCGTCTGCTTCCCTCTTCCCCCCTAGCACTGCCTGGCCTGGCACGCCGGTCGGCTTCCCGGCGGACTATGAAAGCAGCCGATGGTGTGGTGAATAGCGACGTGGATTTCGAGTTGGAACGACTAGGCTGGGCTGGTGGTTCGGATACCCGAAGCTCTGCCGTTTTTGCGTTTTATTTATTTATTTGTTGTGTGGAGCACTGTCAGTGNNNATGAGCTTCCAGGCTTCACACTCCCAGGAGTATAAAGGGGTCTTTTTATTTCACACTATATAAGTGTTGTAATAGGGGTCGAAACCCTATAATGTGGTTCCTGTTCGATGGAAGCTGTCCTCGACCTCGCTCTTCAATGCAAGGATAACAGAATATCAGGTTTCAATCTATTTAAGGAACTGGATCGTTTAGGTCTGACTTCCGGAGCCGCAGTCCATGTATTCACCTCACAGCTGAAGTCTATAACAGGAGCAGACGGAGTTCCTCCAACCAGCGAAGCATTCGGTCTGATAAAGGTGTGATTCTATTGAAATTGAAGTGGAGGTTTCGAAATTACTGCCTGACCAAGTTGGATAGGCTTTGAGAAAGGTAACAAACGATTAAGGTTCTCTTCCGTTGCAGTTCTACCTATGCTTTTTTCGGAGGCTGCATACGATCAAGATTCCATGTGTTGTAATTTCTAGTATAGCTATTTTTCTGCTGCTACTTTCCAACTATTTCATAGATCCAATACTCAAGAAATGGACAAAAGTAAAGTTTCCTATGGAATTCATTCTGGTAAATTCGATTGACAGCTTTTTTGTTGTTAAAATGTTGTGTAAAGAGGTAGGCCCATGAAATGAAACGTATAATTTTGAACTATGTGTCCCTACAAATTCAGAAGAAGTGTGCTCAAAGATTGTTACCTGTAGCTACGTGCTCCTCAGACATTGATCTAACACTCGATACAAAAGTAGTGTAGTCTGAAGTGAACACGCTCTGAAGACTCAAATAAGAACCTCCCCCCACCCCTCATTTAGGTTTGTGAGTGTGTTGTCGACACGTTTCTTAAGAAGACAGTTTTTAATGTGGAAAAAAATTCACTATATCAAATCTTCAGCTAGCCTCACCACCAGCATTTCATTGCATGCATCAGTGGAGTCAAATTAGTAAGGGAAAATATAAGTCTGGAAACAAGAAATACCAAAAATTTACTTAGCATCAAGGTTTTCTTTACCCTTCAGACCTAGTGGCTCGCTTCGCCTCACAACTGGGTTCGCTTGTGGTCACACTCAACTTTGCCTTCTTTCTGAACCGCGGCAAGGGGATAAAGCGTTCACTGTCATCAATGAAAAACCCTCTTTCCTTTATTGCACATGCCTGTTCAGCTGGATGACTTCCTCTTCCGATAACTAAAACATGCATCAGTCGTCCAATGACAAGATCGTCTGCAAGCTCGTTTCAGTAAAACGACTGGAATATAAAACCTTGTTACACCATTATTAGCAGTGAAAGGGATTTGAAGAATGGCTCAGTAGGAGAGTCAGGAACTGTTGCCTCTTCGATAGACTCCTGGAAGTAATTAGACATGTACGCGGAAAAAATGACAAAGCTATCAGCTATTTCTCAGTCACCGAAACTTGCTTTGCGAAAATTTTCAAGTGCTTTGCTATGAACTAAAACGCAAAGCAGAACAACCGAGCAAAGCTTCGGCCGTTTCAGCGAGTGCGCTCTACAGGAAGCTATACTAGGAAACATTTTTTTTTACTTTTAAGGTCTCCTTTTCAACATTAATAGTTTTTCTTGCTGACGGCACTCGATTCCAGATTAATGTTCCAATCGTTGGCAAGGTGAGTCCAATTTCATTTACGAGGGCTCATGAAGGCATACTTCGATCTCGGTTCAGGTTGAGTCGGGTATTCCTGCGCCGAGGCTGCCGTCGCTACCCCATGTTGATGAACTTGTTTGGCAAGCCATAAGTATTGCCATTATCTCATTCGTTATTCACATAGCACTTGCAAAATTGATATCGAAAAAGCTAAACTATGAAATAGATGCTAATCAGGTAAAATAGGAGGTTCTCAGGAGCGGTATATTGATTCCTCTATTTCTCATGGCGAATTTTACGTTTTTAGGAATGGTTTGCCTTGGGCGCTATGAACAGCATAGCTTCGTTCTTTGGGTGCTTCGCCAGCGGTTCCTCCTTGGGGAGGACTATGATGCAGGTTAAATTTGGCACTAAAAGTCAGGTCGGAGTGCACTCTATGATCGTCGCTTGTCTATTTCGAAATTCATCTGTAAGGGTCCCATTGTGAACGGATATTCAGATGTCGACATTGGTTTGCTGCACTATGATGGTTGGCTTCGTCTATGGCGCAGCTTCATTCATTTACCATCTTCCAAAGGTGAGGATATAAGAATGCCATCTAAAAAGTTAAAGCGAATAAGGAAAGAGAAGTACGTGTAAGGCTGAAGTAGAAAACTGCGAAGTTCTGATCTCAGCTAGATTACACGACGAGGGTCGAGAGCATATTATTATGGTATAACAGACCGCGCGTTTTTGTGACAGCAAGTCAAAACTTTGTCCATTGAGTGATGTTTATGAAACATTGCATGAGCTGTTTTAAAGTCATCTTCACTGAAGACATAATGCTTCTGGGACGAAAACTCAGATTGTTCCTTATGTCTTTTGAAGAAGTAGTGGTTAGCTCCAGATTCATTATTGCTTTCATCAGTTTTCAAGCATTCTGATTGAATAGTACATAGTACTGTTGCAGTATATGGTGCACGTACGAAAATGTTGCACTGGAATTCTAAAAGTTCCCGTCCGATGGCTCTTAGTACATTTTGCTTTTCATAATGCTAGAGAGAATGCCTCACTTCTGTAATTCCGTCGGGTTTCTTCCAGCGGCTCATTCGGTTTTCCTAAATATGCCGCGATGGCTCGGAGATGTTTCAAATAGCAAGATAGGGCAGCCTAACCCAATGGTCAGATGGAAGTCATGGCATGTTATAAGTAGTGTCAAGGAGCAATTTGGTAATTTGGTAGTGCCCTCAAAATAGATATGATGCCACTAAGAAAAACCAAAAGAAAGCCTGAAGAACATTTCTTCTTGTTATTCGCCCAGTATCGCCCCCCGAAAATAGACACCAAACCATGGCTTAGTACTGGGGTATGAGTCCTGTGCCATATCTCCACGAATAAAACGTGAATTCGCACGATTAGCACTGGGTTCTCATGGAGGTATTTGGCGGGCATACGATCTGTCAAATATTTGCAGCCAATCCTGAAAATGTTTGATAGATCGCTGTGCGATCGATAAGCAAACGGATACTTGCCATCGATTTTTCCCATTCCTCGAGTTGAACCGTGTGAAATCCTTTTAACAACAACAGCTTCTGGATCATATGACATTATAATAAGCTATGTAGTCTATAACAGTCCAGTCTTGGTTCAACGTTCACTATGAAATCCCATGACGTGCCCATCCGACCTCGTCCGATTCCGATTCGTTCTCATGGTCTGGGCAGGGGTAGGGTTTTTGATCCTTTTCGTGGGCCGACTTAGTCCGCTCAGTGATTCCTTTCTGTACACGAACGTTTTTGAAATTTTGAACTTTGGGCTTCATCCAGCGCTATGAAAGAAGCAGACCGTGAGACCCCTATATTGGAGCAGATCAGAACCCCCATACTACTAGCATTCTGGAGCTTCCAGTTGTTATCACGCTGTTGTGCATGAAGAGAACAACAGGAACTAGTAACCTAATAAACATCATTTCCGATTGCATTTAGCTACATGCAGGTCTTTTTCTCATCGCTGCAAAATTCAGGAAACGGTCGTCCAATTTGTTTGATGTTCAGTCATTCACATCAACTGTTAGAAAAACTAAACGAATTTTCATCGGATTTGGCAGCGGTGGGAGAAAGGCTGGCTCGCAGCTGAATTTATCGACTTACTGTCAGCCACGAAAGCGCACTACCGTGAAGTGGCATCTTGGATTCTCGCAGTTCCTCAATGAAATTTGTAATCGTATGGGTATGATCGCTAGTACCCAGTCTTTCTCGGAACCATTCCTTGCTCTCATGGATATCTTCATCTGAAGCTGGGCTAGCTCTAGGTTTGAGGACACCCCTGTGAGAAGTTTGTAAATCACAGGCAACAGGGAGGGACTCGGGATATTTCGGCAAACTTTGCCAGAATAAAAAACTTCTGAAAGAGATGTACTCAAATACAAGCAAACACACACGTGTCATAACCAATAGTATGGGATTGCCTATAGAAAAAGAGGCACTCGCATAGCTGATAAGTCTTAATAGTGATTTTATCCACCTGTCGTGCCGTCGGGAACGTCTAACTGAAGCCTTTCCACATCAGTAGTTGCAGGGTGACTCAGGCGGCATGAGCTAGTTGACCGGGGTCATCTGCCCGCTCGCTAATGCTCGTTACCATCTGCCACACGGACATAGTAGGCCTATGCTGTCTCGGTCCCCTTGTGTCCTCCTACAGGCACTAGTGCCTCCATAGTACGCTCGCCCGAGGCCGATTTCTCTCAAGACGCTGGGCGCGTGCTTCTCCAAGAACTTGCGTACCCACTCATCCCAACGCCAAGATGGCTGCGAAATACAACGTGTTATTACAATTCACGTATTAAACATACATAAGTGGATTATATGGATTTATGAGCGACTAGGTATAGAGACAATAAGATGTTACGATAAATGTGAATAAATGCGAGTAACTACCGTTGTGACAAATGCTGTGGAAAAGAATATAAGAATGTTTATCTATATATACAGTAAAACCACGCTAAACCTACGGTTAGGGTGTGATCCTGCTTACTCTCACTCTGGACCATCCAATCCTCTCAAGCTTCTTGCGGTACTGCTGCTCCTTAGTTCATCCACAGCTGCGAACACCCCTCGAGATCTTGCTTGCGTGAGGTTGACTTGACAACACTTGCACCAACAGTAGATGGCAATATAGTGCTACTGAGGATCCCTCTGAAGCCGTGCCGGTGGAGTTGACATCGAGTACGTGCAAGGATTTTGAGACGACCAGGCTGCTGCGACGGCGGTGGTGATGAAAAGTGAATGATGCAATCGTCGGGGGATCGCATAAGCAGCCAGAGTCCGTGGCTGAGCATAGCCATGTGGCGTCCTCCCTTTCTCTGCAGAATACTGTACCTTCCCAGCGGCACCGAGGTGCGCGCCACGCCAGCTCACCTATAAAGACGAGCAAAAGACACGACCCACCATTGTTGCTATCTGGCCACAGGTCTTTCGAAAATGTGTCTTTGATTGGAACAGCGATGAAAGATACGCCATAACTGGAGTATGGCATGTTCATCTATTAAGTAGTATATCCTGTCATGTTCAAATTGTGCTAACCAATCTCTCAACTCTCAGACCCTCAGCAAAAATTGCATCTTATAAGAGCTACATATAAAAGCGCAAAATTGCCGAAGATGACTTGTTCGTCGAAGGTTTTTTATAGGCCATTCTTGCTTCAATCATTATTGTCGCTATGAAAGATCTTTTTGTCCAACTTGTGCGAGGATTTCGCCTTTGCAGAGAAAGTATTGTGGACTTCGTAAGAACTTATTTTTATCTTGTTTCACTGCTTCGACAACTTGTCCTGTGTGAACTGGAACAATGAGGAATGATGACAGCTCGAGTAAATCTTAGCACCAACTTCGGAGTCTATTCGACTTCACTTGCTGTCCCGAGTAATTTTATCTTCCTGATAACACACCATTCAGATACAAAGATAGAAGTAGTGATACTCTGCGAAAAAGTAGGATATCCGAGCATTAGAACGAAAATAAACCTCTCCGAAAGATGCTCCCCACATTCTATTTCCAATCGGAATCGTGTGGTGCACATAATGAATGCATTATGGCCTATATTAGGTTGATTGAAAAGTCTTGGTAGGGTTGAAACATTTTCCTGCTTTGTTTTACAACTCAGCAAACAATGCAAGCTAATAAACAATATAGTAACCATCGTTAGTTATAATATTGTGGAAGTGGTGTCCTCTCCCAATGCGCTGTTGATGTTGTGGACTGTTGCTGTTGCTCCAGTGCCGCGACGCCACTCATAGAAGATGATGGCTCGGAGATAGTCTTGTGAAACTGAAATCGTGTTCAAACTCAGGTAGGCGCACGCGCCCTTATACACCTTTTGCGGAAAAGCTCCCAAAATGTTCCACAATTATCACATGACAGATCATGGATATAGGTCAGAAATCCCGCACTTTTGAAAAACCCTATCAAGACTTTTCGACCAACTTAGTAGAAGGACTTGCGTTGGCCAGCCGATGTACAAGTCTGCGCTTTTATCTTTTGAGACGAGCCCGGTACCAAGTAATTGGCTCCGGAGGGATGCATGGCTTGGATAACCTTAGGAAGTTGAACTACTTACCCTTGCGTGTGTGCGCGTGCGACGTGAGCGACACTGCGTGTGTAATAGTGGACCACTTGCCACTGCATATATCCGCCTTGGAAAGCTGGAATAAGCCTCTAAATGTGAGTTTCAAGGTGAAAGGATTCTAACATTGCTATCCGAAATCTCAAAGGCATTCTACCCTTAATTGGTCTCAAATGAGGCATTCTACCCTAAATTGGTCTCAAATGTTGCTAGATTTCAGATGATTTTTCTGGTAACATTAGTGGCAGTAATTCTGATAAACGTCAATGTAGGGCTCATTATCGGAATATCATTCGCTTTGCTATCGGTCGTCTTTCGTACGCAATGGTTGGTACTTTTCTAGATGCAATCTTATGGTGTGCGCAAGCATGGGTATTGAAGCCCTATTTTTATAAGAGCATGGAACGTAAAAAGCTGTCATACGTACCCCTACCATCACGTGAACGTAATTACATAGATCTTAGCTTGTGACATTCACTCCGCACAACTATACCCCCTCGACTTCGTTAGGGAATAATTTCAGGATTGGAAGTATTGTGCGCAAGTCGCTGGTGTTTTATTGGTCTTTCTCCGAATCTGTATCTAGATGACGGATATGTGTAAGGCGCTGGGAGCCGCCATTGTGTCATAAAGTCAGGAAACCGGGCTGCTGCACCTTTGAAGTGATAATCTTTTACGATTTTTTTGACGTTCTAGATGTAAGGAAACACAATTTGGGTTAGGTTTCCGCGATAGCATGGAGATTTTAGTGGGTTATTGCGGTTTGTTGCAAGACCACTTGGTGTGCACGTACATGGGACTTGGAGAAATAGTTCCGCTATCCTTTCCGGAGTTTGGGCTCGGCTCTAGCGAATTTGCCAAGTTAATTACGCTAGTGGGACCCCATTTCATTTTATGGTGTTTTCGCACATGTTCTGAACGCCAATTCAGTAAGAGAAGAAAAAGTAAGGCTGAAGGGGTACAAGCGGTTGCATACTCGAAAAATATCTGTATAGACATGCTCCCGAGAGAGGATCAACAATTTCTACGTGTAGAAGAGGATATGTAGAAAGGAAACCCATGATTGCTCACACCTAGATCATCGCTTGTGAAGACCAGCAAACAGTATTTCAGGGCTGACAGTACTTGTATGGGTCGAATCCCTGGCACGTCTGACTTCAAAGGTTTGGGCCATTACCGCAGTGCAGAAGAAATACCTGGTTAGCATTTTCTAGCCGAGCGATTTTTTCAAAAAACTGAGAACAAGCAAGGGTTGAAAATGAATTGAATCGGAGGAACTTGAGCATCGTATTTGGACTCCACTAAATACATCGCACTTGTCTGTGCACTAAGCGAAGTTAAAACACGTTGTGGTTTTTTTTGTGAAGTAAACAAACTCTACAACTCTCTATACAACCAGCTCACCTAATATAATAATCGTCACAACTGTCTACAAGTGCCCTCTATCTACAGGCAGTAGACACGTCTCTCTTGAAAATGTGAAGACCCGCAAAGATTGAGTGGTTCTTTATCAAGAAGTTCACGATTGAAGCAGTTCTATCCTTCGATAAAATATCACTTAAGAGCTAGCAGTTTCTGCGAGAACAACAGCAACAGTAACAGCGACTTGCTGCTTCGTTTTGCTTGAGACAACGTTCCACTGAGCGACGCCATGCAGCCGAATTTCATGAGAGATATAATTCTGAAGCTTATAGTTGTTGAAATCTATGGTCACGCGCCTGACATCAATTGGTTTTTAAGTATGTTGTGAACCTCGCGGATCATCTGGTATAGCGTCTCATCCTCCTTTGAAAGCACAACGATTCGAACAAGTCCGCTAACTGAGCGTTTCAAAGGGAAATCAGAAATATATAGTGGCCCAAAGACGGCCACGTTTTTTTATAGGGAAGGCTGCTAAAGTCCTTACCCCGAACTTTATCAAATGCATTGCAAAAGTGTTTTGACAATCCGGAATGATCGTGAAGAGAACGAACTTTATGCCGGCTCTACTTAATATTCGATGATCTTGAACATCTGAACGAACATTACCAATAACATACCTCTTCTTCTTCTTCTTCTGCCTAGCGTTAATCACGCACTGTCGCACGGTCCGCTGTTCTTATCAGCCGCCTCCTTTCCTTCTATCTACAGCACCTTCTGCCGTCACCTTAGCTTTGGCGAGGTCCTTCTTGATCGTCCCGCCTTCTCTCCTTTGAGGCTCCTCGCGATCGCTCCCCTTGGGCCTCGAACTCCATTGCCTCCCTTGTCGGATGATTTGGTGGTCGCCTCATGACGTGTCTGTACTATCGCAAGCGCTGTTCTCTCATCTTTAATTGTACATGGGCTACTTGTATGAGCCCTCTGACGTCCTCGTGTCTGATCCGTCCAGTCGCGTCCAGCAGCAGCGTCCTGAGCATTCTCTTCTCAGTGGAGTAAAACTGCCTTTCATGATTCCTATCTACGGGCCAGCACTCTCTGCTGCAGATCATCGCTGGTCTCACCACTGTCCTCCAGACGTTTCCTTTGAGGGTGCCGGAGCAGCGACGGCCGCAGAGGATACCAGTATACCATACCGGGGACGCCTTCCCCTTCATCCATGCCGCTTTATTCGGGATTTCACAGCCTGGTCCAGGCTGCTATCAGCGGCTAGATCACTCTCCAGGTATCGGAAGTCCTGTACCATTTCAAAGACTTCCCCGAGACCGTCTAACATTGATCCATGCTTTCCTCGTGGCTGAGGAGCTTGGTCTTCTTTACATTCAGCCGGAGTCCACTAACTGTCAGCACTTTCTGCCATTTCTGCAGCTTCTCCTGGAAATCTTCTCTGCTCTCCGCTATCAGAGCGATGCCATCACCGTAGAGGACGGTTTTTAGTGGTACATCCAGGAGTCCGCTTGTGATGACAACTAGTGTGACTATTGAGTGGAAGGGCCCAGAGCTGATCCCTGGTGTACTCCAACCGTGACAACTATTGCTTCGGTCAAGCCGTGTGAAGTGAAGTGAAGTGCGTATTGCTGTCGTAGAAACATCATATATGTCTCTTACTAGGGAAATCAGGTGTTGTGAAACGCTTCGCTCTCGGAGCGCTCTCCAGGGAGCCTGCCGCGGGAGACGATCGAAGGGCTCCTCGAGATCGAGAGAGCCAGGTAGCAAGGTCTACGCTCTTATCGATGCTTCTCTATTACCTGTCGGGCTATGAAGATGGCATCCATAGTGGACCCTTCTGGCATGGAGCCAAACTGCCCTCATGAGATCTGGACGAGTTCCCTCAAGTTCGAGTTAACTAGCGGTTCTTACAAATTCATTGTGTGAGCAGTCACCCTGAACCCCTGTAGTTGGAACATTCCGTAACGTCCCTTTTCTGTTTGAATGTGGAATGATCACAGTGTTCAGGAATCGGGTGAGCCACTTAATACTGTGCTCTCCAAGCGCCTTCCATGCCTCGATGGGGACCCCACCGAACCACTAGTTTTTCCGGCTTTCGTTTTCCTGATTGCACTACGCACCTCATTCTCTGTTCAGAGTCCGATGGGCCAGATGTTGCCTTTAATGTTTCCTCTAACTGGGGGCTGTTCTCACGGGACCATTTTTCGTTTAGGAGCTTGACAAAGTATTCTTTCCAGGATTACATCTCTCAAGACTATGACCTCCGTGTTCTTAACCGTCTTTACCACTCAGATGTCTTGAGTAGCCCGGTGCCGCGCTTTCGCCAGCCGGAAGGCGAACTACTCTCCTCCTTGGCCATCTAGTATCTCGTGGCACGAGGCATCCATTTCCGCATTCTTTGCTTCCGCTACGGCAGCCCTGGCAACGCTAGTGAAATTTCTGTAGGCAACTAGGTCTTTTCGAGCTCGCGTCTCCTGCCACCTCTTGTAGGCCGCTTTCTTTTGTCTCACGACTTGCTGGACTTCATCGTTCCAGAACCACGCTTCATTGCCTTCTAGGAATCTACCTCGGGTCTCTCCCAGCGTTTCTCTTGCCTACTGTAGGGTAACTTTCACGGTATTGCTCCAACTCTGCTGGATCGGCCCTTCAGGATCTGGAAGATCAGATTCCAGTATCTTCCGCCTGAGTTCTTTGCTTTCGACTTGGTGCAGCGGTGAACCACCGGATCCACTGCTCTGTTCTTGTTCTTGATTTCTTGGGGAGCTCTACGGCTATGTCTGCTAGAAGAAATCTGTGCTGCGTAGCCAATTCATCACCAGGAAGTTCCTCGATGTCTTTTACAACTTCGAGGGACGATCTTATAACAAGTATATGATCTATTCCCGTTTCTTCCCCTCCACTGCTGAAGGTTACCTTTTAAGTCTTCCTTCCCGCAAAGAAGGTGCTGCAGACTGCCAAGTCATGGGTTGGGGCTAGGTCGAGGACCCTCTCTCCTTCTTTCTTTCTAACTTCTATTCCCTTGCCTCCATGAACCCGTTCCAGTCCTCTCCTTTCACTGCGGCTTGCGGTGCGTACACGGATATTACTGTCCAGTGATCCTGTTTCTTGTCTATCCTCCCTGCCACGATTTGAGTGCTGATACTGTTGACGGCGGAGACAGACTCTGTGAGGGACTCCGCCACGGCTATGGCTACACCGTGGCGTTTGATGTCCGTTGTGTAGTGCTTGACACCTCCTCCGATTCCATTAGATCAGCGACCTCTCGGGACTTCCCAGTAAGCGAACTCACGTTGAGAGTCCGAACTAACTTCTTTCCGACGAACGTCCTAGCTTTATGACTGATTACTTTTGGGACTTTTGACATGGTTGTTGTGACTTGGTTTCTCCATCAGCCGGGCCACTGGGCCTGACACTGAACCGTTACCATTTTTGCAATTTTTGCAAACCATGTATTTTGACTCGGGAGGGATCGGACTCAAGTTTGCACTCTTATCCACTCGCACAGATCGCACGAGTGGATAAGAGTGCAGACTCGAGTCTTCACTCTTATCCACTCGGTCATCCCTGCCTACCAATAACATACCTATGGTATGAGACTAGATAGCACCGTAATTTCATGGTCCTCTACGAGTGAAATTACTTATCGACGATTTTCCAGGTATCAAAGTTTTCCGCTTTGACGCTCCGCTTTACTTCGCTAACGCCGAATTATTCATTCTAAGCGTGCATAATGCTTGTGGATTGAACCCTGTTATTGGTGCGCAAACTTATTCGTTGTCTTTCTTTGCTGTGACTGAACGTGAGAGTTGCTTTGTCGAGTCAGTTCATACTGCACTTTTGTTTCTCTTCAGTGAGGTCAAAGTTGAACGAGCGAGCGGCAGCAGAAGCCAAGTCTGGCAAGGAGCGTAGCATGGAAGCGTCGAAATCAGCTGGCGACATGCGTGAGTCATCAACGTACTTGAGCAGTCGATGAATGTAATAATTGTATGCGAATAGAGTCCCTGGACAGAGATCAGAGCTCTGAAACGGCTATCAGCTGCTCAGATTGCAGCCTAACGTTCCGAGGTGGTCTTTTTTCTCACAAAGCTAGCAGGAAAACAAAGGGCTGGGGGGAGNTGGTTCCTGTTCGATGGAAGCTGTCCTCGACCTCGCTCGTCAATGCAACGTATAACAGGGATAACGTATAACAGGTTTCAATCTATTTAAGGAACTGGATCGTTTAGGTCTGACTTCCG